AACAATGTTTATGGCCCCAATCAGTTCCCTGAAAAGATGATTCCAAAATTCATTCTCTTGGCTATGAAAGGGAAGCCTCTTCCAATTCATGGTGATGGATCAAATGTCAGGAGTTACCTCTATTGTGAGGACGTAGCAGAGGCATTTGAAGTCATTCTGCACAAGGGTGAGGTAGGCCATGTGTACAACATTGGGACAAAGAAAGAGAGGAGGGTGGTTGATGTGGCTAAGGAAATTTGCCAACTCTTCTCTTTGAACCCAGATACTCAAATAAAGTTTGTTGAAAACAGGCCGTTTAATGATCAAAGATATTTCTTGGATGACCAGAAGCTGAAAAACTTGGGATGGTCTGAAAGGACTTCGTGGGAGGAGGGTTTGAGGAAGACGATGGACTGGTATGTCAAGAATCCCGAATGGTGGGGAGATGTTTCTGGGGCACTGCTTCCTCATCCAAAAATGCTCATGGTTCCTGGAATTGAAAGAAAATTTGATGGTACTGATACTGGCGCTTCTGCCTTCTCTTTGTCAGCAAGTGATTCTAGGGAGAGCCACATGGTTGTTCCACCTCCAAAGAACAATCCATCTACTCAGAAGCCATCTTTGAAGTTTTTGATTTATGGTAAAACGGGGTGGATTGGAGGCCTTCTTGGGAAGATTTGTGAGAAGCAGGGGATACCCTATGAGTATGGACGAGGGCGTCTTCAGGAACGGTCACAGCTCTTGGCTGATATTCAGAGCGTTAAACCAACCCATGTTTTCAATGCTGCTGGAGTGACTGGGAGGCCCAACGTGGATTGGTGTGAATCTCATAAACCAGAAACAATTCGGACCAATGTTGTCGGTACATTAACCTTGGCTGATGTCTGCAGAGATCACAACCTCCTGATGATCAATTATGCTACTGGTTGTATCTTCGAGTATGATGCTGCCCATCCATCAAGATCAGGAATCGGGTTCAAAGAGGAAGACACACCCAATTTCACTGGCTCATTTTATTCCAAAACCAAGGCCATGGTATCTTTCTCAACTATCCATATCTATTACTGTTGCAATTTTGAAAAGAAACTTCAGACTATCTGCCAACTGATATCTCTCTTTCCCATTTTTGTGGCAGGTTGAAGAGCTTTTGAAGGAATATGACAATGTTTGCACTCTTAGAGTCCGGATGCCAATATCATCTGATCTCAGCAATCCACGCAACTTCATCACGAAGATCTCACGGTACGACAAAGTGGTTGACATTCCAAACAGCATGACCATCTTGGATGAGCTTCTACCCATTTCAGTTGAGATGGCCAAGAGGAACTTGAGGGGCTTATGGAACTTCACAAACCCCGGCGTTGTGAGTCACAATGAGATTCTGGAGATGTACAAGAAGTACATTGACCCCAGTTTCAAGTGGACTAACTTTACACTTGAAGAACAAGCCAAGGTTATTGTTGCACCAAGAAGTAACAATGAGATGGATGCATCTAAGTTGAAGAAAGAGTTCCCTGAATTGCTTCCAATCAAGGAATCACTGATTAAATACGTCTTCGAACCGAACAAGAAGGCATTTTCTGGCTGAGCAGCAATTCAAGTGTTTCATGAAGTAGACCTCAATACCAATTCATGCATATTTTATTTATTTATTTTGTTCTGGGAAATAGGGGTTTTGTTATTTTCATGTGGTGATTATTGTCATGATCCATCTGTCTCATCCTATTGGTTCAATTTGTTTTCTGTAATAGCTATAAGTTTGTTTCACAAGTTGGTACTGTAGGTTCTAGTTTGGATAAGGAGCTTTGGAATTGCTTCAGAATATTTAAATTTTAAAAGGTCTTCTGTAAGTTGTGGCATATTGTAATTTCGGATATGTAATAAAGAACATGTAATTTTGAATAATTTATTCATACAAGTTTATCTATTTCTATCTTTGGACCGTTAAAATAAATGATGTCTGTATCAAAAACAAAAGAAGACATGATCTCATTTAAATATGTTATGTGGGACCATCAGATTAACTATGAATTACATTCCAAATTACTTTGAAAGCTTGATCGATATAAAATTTTCTTTCTTGGCACAAGAATGATATAAAATTTTCTTCCTTGGCACAATCGATCAAATTTTCTTTCTTGGCACAAGACTGATATAAAATTTTCTTCCTTGGCACAAGACTTGATTGATGAATCAATTTTTATAAAAGACTTGGAGTTCTCTATTATAAAAAATAAATAAAAAAGGGGAAAAACATAGACCTGGTGGTGATTGTTGTAAAATAAATGGGATATACTAAAATATTGAGCTGCATGTAAAGTAGATGAGACACAACATTTAACGAGATTCGGTCATGCCTACGTCCTCGGAGAGCAGCAACAGTAACTTTTCACTACGTAAAATAATAGGGCTACAACTTTAGTGTTTACAATATATGTGGCTCACTAATATTTCTCTCTTGGAGAATTTCTCTCTGCTCCCTTGTTCTCTCCACTCTCTCACCCTCTTTCTTCTTTCTTCTCTTCCTTTCTTTCCTCTTTGCCTGGGCTCTCATCTCTTCTCAGATGGTGTGTGTAGCAAAGGAAGGGGAAAGCCTTATTTGTAGGCAGAATTCTGTAGCTACTTACTCATTTTTCTTTGGCTTCATGAAGGTGTTGGCAGACAAGCATCATCATTATTCTTCAATCAATTAGGTAGTGGGCTCTACCATTTTGGGCTCCATTCTTGACTTTACAACACTCCCCCTTGGAGACCACAAATGATATGTCGGTTGCCTCATTAAAATCTTGCTTGAAGAAAAACCAGTGAGGTAGAAAACTAATGGAAGGGAGGAGAGTTCAGCAATCAGTATAGCATACTTCTAGATGCTCCCTCTAATGAATATCTCCCCCTAATATCTTCATGACTATCTTTTTAGAGGGAAAATTTTTCGGAGTGAGTGGAGGATGTAGCCATCAAAAATTACTTAGTTGAGTAAGTGAATATACTTCCAGTAAGTGATATCTATGTAAATCATAGAAATTTCTAGAGTCCACGTATCTAACAAAACTTGGGCTATTTGTGAGTTCACTTGAAAAGAATATACTCGTAGCATCAAATATGCCTCTCATCATCCCAAAGTAATGGTGATGGAGCTGAACTTTATCTAGAAAATACAATGTCGGGTCCAGTATACTTCCGAAAAAACATTTAAGTGCCTAACAGATAACCCACATAAAAATGCTTCTATACTTTCCTAGTATAAGCAAGAATCTCGTTGGCATAATGCTCGATCTTCAGGCCGAGAAAAATATTTCTTGAACTCTTCAGGAGTTTTAACCAAGTATTAACTCTTCAGGAATTTTGATCAATTATCAACTCTTTATGAGTTGTAATGTGTTGCAACCATTAATGTACTCACTGATGCAATTTATACATATTATTATTGAGTACAAATTTTGTGCTTCAGACACATGTTCTTCAGGGGATTACTTCATGCAATTTCAATCCTTCAGGGATTTTGTTTAGGGGATTACACTTTATGACACATTATATAGCTTTATATCCGGCTATTTGTTCTGCTTGTACATCTTTAAGGAATCGCTTTGGCGATATGCTCCGTGCATTTAATAACCCTTAAAGATAACATGTTGGTCTCTGCAAATGTGCAATAAGAAGGCACGATTGCATATGTAAATATGGAGAAACCCAACATTCCTTGTTTCTACCAGAAACATTGTGTCATATAAAGTGAGTATATTCCTCTTTATTCCGAACACCCATGTATAACCTTCAGGGTTATTGTTAATGTATGAATTTTGATTAATTCTTTTGACTTCCCTTGACAATTTTGTAATAGGACTTTTATATGTATTTATCAAGCTCAAGGTTAGATTAAGAATAGCATCTCTAAGTGTTCTTAACTCTCATCTATCCTATGGAGGTTCAAGCAATTTGACAAAGGTAAATCATGCATTGCATATCATGCATTAAAACTGTTTTCATAAATTATGACTAGTCATCCTTGCTCTGTAGGATTTCCAGCTGGTTAACCATCTGTTTTGTCCTATTCTCTTTTCTCTCTCTGCTGCCATGTGTCAGTCTGACCTAAGGGATTCTTTTGTCTGTAAAGGCAAGTTAATTCCTCATTTGGAAGCCGTCTCTTTTGTGTGGAAGTTTTGGAAAGATTGGCTTCCATCTTTCTCTTCTTCTTCCTCAAGAGTGAACCACATATTTCATCTATGAGTTTTTCTAATTGATTTCTTTTTGAAAAACTGCTTTTGAAATATGAATCTGCATCTAGCTATTTAAATCATTCTCTCATATAGATCTAGATCGGATTCGTGACTGATTTCTTCAAGAGTATGGTTTCTTGAAGAAATTGGTCATTCTCCCTTGAATCCAAAGTTTGGTTTCGGTTTGAGTTGGAGCTTGCAAGCTAGTGCCATGGGATGAACGAGCTGGAGAAGGAGCTGCCATTGCCATGAAGAACTGAGCTTCAAGCTTTGCTAAGTTGGAGAAGAAGATTGCACAAAGGAGGTATAGCTCATCTTCCTAAATAGATCTAGGTTTTGCTTGAGCTTGCTTGTATTCCTTTGTAAGAATCTTTTTCTACTTAGTGGATTGCCTAGTCGGTTGATGACTCCCAGTTTTTCCCAATGGTGGGTTTCTGGGTAAACAAAATCTGTTTTGCATATCTGTAAATTTTTCTGGGTCTGTGTTCTTGGTGTTTGACTAGTCATCTATATCTGCTGTTTGCTGTTTACTTGATATTGATGACTTCACACACTTTCACCATAGTTGTTGCTAGCACAGGGGATGCCTAGATTGACGGGTCCTTCTGAGTGCCTAAGTTGTCACTAGTAATCTTCTAGGGCTGCAGGTACCTTGTGGCATGCTCTGTGTGTTCTCTTGATTGTGGTGTTGTTGTGTCTTGTTTGTTTAGTTAAATTTACCCCTCGTCACCTAAGTATCAATTTCAGTTATCATCTTTTGGGATTCGTACTATGGGTTTGTTCTTTCACGTTCATTCTCATCTGTAATGAAATTGCCTCTTTTCATTTTGACCAATGATATTGTCGACATTAAATAATAGAACGTGGTTCCAATCAACACAGCCCATTGATGATTTGAGTAGCTACTCCAAAATAAAAACCTGTCATTCATCAATTTATGATCCCACCATTCTCATGTGCATGCGCATGCATCAATTATAAGAATTTATTTGTTTTTGGGTACCCAAGCCACTTCAGGGGCTTTTATTGTCTCTTTCCAGATAGACATCTCTTATAGGATGAATTATGTGAGAATGTGGATCATAACCTCCAAATAGAGCGTTATTTTACAGTAGGGCGTGGATAATCTCCATTTAGGGAGTTGGAACATTTAGAACCCATATATCTGTCATGCTGCAGGCATGCCACAGATTAATACACACATGTCAATGAATTGTCCTTTTGGGACTTTAAACCATATAATTTGCTACCCATTAGGCGTGCACCGTATTAGTATTGACATGTTAATGGATTGTCCTTCTGGGACTTCAATCCATATCATTTGCTACACAACAGGCATGCATCATATTGATCACTGCTATACCAATGTTCTGTTCTTATGAGACTTTAATCTATGCAGTGTATTATCAATGTATCCAACTTGCAATTTGTGAAATTTGCATGCATTAATAATTTATGAATACATATCAGAATGATACAAGTCATTCTTCTGGAATGGTCATAATACAAGTCGTTCTTCTGGAACGATCTATAATGCAAGTCATTCTTCTGGAATGGTCTTTTGCATGGCGTTCTTCGGGAATGGCCTTATCTCCCCATTTGGTTACCTTTAAGGATGTCATACAAAATATCAAAATAAGAGTACAAGCATGAAATAACACAAGTATTGCTTACATCCTTAGGTGGGAGAAACTTTGCTCAAATATCATTCAAGCTCGTTTCGGCTCAGCAACTATCATGTAATGCTTGATGATATAGTTATATTCTGCAAGAGCAAAAATCCAATTCTTCTATCTCTGTCAAAAAAAAAAAAAGCCATCAGTATTAGGATCACTACATGGATTCTTTCTTCGGATGTTCGTTCTACATCCCTTATGAATAAAGAGTTATAAAAAGAAAGAAAATATACAAAGAATTGTGATATTGATTGTAAGGTAGGTAAGCAATCAGGGCAGGAAATTGGTGAGGTAACAGACGACAAACTCTCATTTCTCCTAGCATAGAAGAACTTCAGGAGATTAGAACATGTGGTCGTCCTTACAGCTCCCCGACATCGCCGAAACATGATTAGGAATAGTCTCGATTCCTGAATGGATGATTAAAGATAGTCTCACTTCTTAAGCACACTGAGCGCTCACTAATAGGAAAAACAAGTGGATATTGCATCATTGGATATGGAGAAAATTGGAGAAAATTGGGTGTATTCTGCTAAAAAACATTTCGTTAGTAACATATTTATACATAAATGAGAGGAATAGTTAGGTCCAGTGAATCTCAAATTAACCACAGAAATTTGCTGGGTTCTCGGGATGCTTTTGAAAAAGTAGCTCCGTGAAATCCGCAAAGTAAGATCGGCTTTGACAAAAATAGTTCTTGAAACCCCTAAAGTGCCGACAGACATTAATGGAGGCCGCGTGAAGTTTTGGTATCTGGAAAAGAAAAGGAGAATATGGGAATCCGAGAAAATATTGGGATCCTGGAAACGGTGCCACATTTTCATCTATAGATATTGTCTCTACAAAGCCTAATTGTAGTAACTGTGTTTCAACTCAACTTCCTTACATTTTCTGAAAATTCAGCTTTTCTAAGATTTTCCTCGAAACCTTCTTAAAATGGCTTCCTCTTCTTCTCCCCCAAAGCATTTGTTTGTGTTATGAATTTCTTATTCTAATTTGGAATAGATTCTGGGTTTCTCTCTC